GTGTACCTTGGCACCTTTTTGTTTATTTTTTTCACAATCGTCATAACTTCTTCAATAATTCCACTACTGGTAATTGATGCACAGTTTTTCGGATAAGATAATGCATGCACACAGTTTGAAATATGAAAAATGCCAGAATAAATCGAAAAAACTAGCCAGAATCGGGTGAAATTGAGACGCGCAACCACTGTGCGCGTCTCAATTCGTGTGTGTGTCGCCAATGTGTTAAAATCGCCACCATTCAAAGACCAAATCTTGGATCAATTTCGACTCAAGCTAACCATGCCTTCCATCTCTCCATTATTTTTTGCACCAAACGGATTTTGGAGAATAAAAAACATAATTCGTTTATGGGACAGCGCACGCAATGCGTGGACCCAACACCATTTAATTGCCTCTACGCTTTTGAATGGAAGCACAATGAGTGCCACGGATGCCCCACTCCCATTCTGCAGTTGATTTCGGATGTAATGACATCGTTAGTTATCTTTTTTGAGGAGGCTTTATGAGTGCGCTTTAAATCTCATCCCCTTTCTCACACCTTGTACAAAAAGTTGTGTTGAGCCCCAGCTCAATTCAGGGTTTTTGCATCCCGGCAAGTCTGGCATCAATACAAGGAAGATGTCCTTCCTTCATTGTTTCCCTCCTCTACAACGGACTATCAAGACCTTATCCGTGGCGACCACAAAGGTGCGGGCCGGTGAAAGGCCTGCGACGTTAGTAGTGAGTGGTTGCCGACTGCTCCTACAACGTCGAAAAGCAGAGGGATGCGTTCACATTGATGGCCTTGGTTTTTTTCATTCACCACTGCACTATCTAGCATCTTTAACTTCCAGAGACGAAAAATTTACCGTACCATCTGCGTTTACATATTTTTTTTGTTGCGTTTATTATTAATCGCTGATATCACTCCGCGCAAGGGTACAACCAACGCGAAGGTGAAGTTTTATCACCACTCAAAAAGTGCATCCTGAAGTGCCAGCGATTAACCAGAGCTACGGAAAATTACTGCGCAGATTTTGACTTACAATAATGTGCTGGGTTAGAGACGGCTCTGTAATAACCAAGTTCTCCTAAAAAGAAGTTGAAGGTTGAGTGGTCTCCGCACAATCAGTCAAACATATGATTTTCTTCGTGAAGAAAAAAAGGGCTCCTAATTTTTATTATCCCGAGAAAACGACTTCTGGGAGCCAATCATTGCGCACGTCAACGCTTGCGTTATAGCGGACGGAATCAATACCAAATATTCCTATCTTATTGGGTAAATTACTCATAATCCCATAAGAAAAAGACGTAGCTATTTTGGGGGACCAGCCTCACGAAACACACTTATTCTAGTCACCATATCACCGACGTTCGAGTACTGCAGGAAAAAACCGCTCTAGCCCAATATCTCTGGTCAGAGGTATTAAGACTACATGAAATTGCTTGCATTTGGAGGCAAATTCGTTATTGAGGAATGGAGGCAGTGCTACACAGTTACGAGTTGTGTACGCTAAGTGAGTGAAGACAAAAGATGGTGAGGAAGTCGTGAAGAGGATCCTTCTCTTGCTCGCCCTGAACAAGATTAGTATGGTGGCCACGTGCGTTTGCGGACGAGTTTTATATACTGAACTCCACGTGCTGGATGCTATCCCTCTCTTGAAGTAAAGCGTACTTCTCCGCCGGCGCCACCCAGGAAGGACGTTTCCCTGTAGGCCTGCTCTCCTGTAGGGAGTGCTGCAACGTTTGCTTTGGGAAACCCTAACCTCTGACGGTTTCCGCTGCTCCGTATTGAAAGCAAAAATGCAGATATTTGGTGATTCCTGACGCAAACCTGTCAGCCTTGGGATAGCATTGGAGAAGAGAGGCGTGTATCCGAGAGAAAAGATAGCGTAAGGCCCAACTTTTTGAAATTTGGTTCAACGACGCTTTAAACAGCGAATGACGAGCGCGGGTTAGCCGCAACGATCGTGCGACAGAATTGCGGCCGCGTACTTATAGCAGCGCCTTCGTTGCGATCGACAGCAGAGGGCGGGGCTTGCGGACAGGCGTGAATTGCACTTCAAAAGCTTCAAGTGCCCTTGTTGCGCATTTTCAAGGGAAAGCGACACGACACCAACGCGTGCCCATCGGTCCATGGAGGTCGACATAATCAGTGAGTGTGCAAAATCGTGAAACGTGTCTTAAGATCAGTTTAATTTTGCGGTTCTTTTTAAAGCAATCTAGCATAGTTTCTGAGCGTAAAAACCGCCGCGGCTTTGTTGAAAATGCAATAAAAATTTTCATAACAGTGGTCAAACTTGCTAGCAAGCAGTCATATTACGATCAGCGTTTATCTACCCCTCTAAAAGCGCTATGCATCTAATTGTATGAATAAAAGGCGTTCTCATCCCGCAACCAAATATAACATATACAAAATATATACTTCACGTAGGGCCTCTTCTAGAAGCCCTACAAGAAGTGCATATTTTGACTTTTTGGGTAAATCTTTTTTCAAGCCAGCATACGTTTCCTACCGCTTGAAGTTATTAGCGACTTGCGTATCCAAAGGAATGAAGGGTCTGGTTGGGCTAGCAAGATTCACAAACAATAGCGACAACGCTTCTACCTTATTCACCACGCTACCTCAGCACGATCTATATGACTTGGCTTCGCAACCTTGAAAGCAGATGGTACAAGAAATAAAAATAGTGATCTGTGTTTGATATTTTGTGCAATAATGAACAAAAAATTAAGGGAATTGGTCTAGAATCCGTGAAATGGAACTATAATCTTGCCCTATGACTTCTGCTTTGTACGGGCCAGCAAGCCGCCTGTAATAAAATGCTCTTTCAAGGACAGAATTACGATAAAAAAGCAACCCATTTCAAATAAGGATGGTGAGTGGTACACGAAAGAAGGAAAAACCATGAGAAACGGCCCAGAACCCGAGAAATGGGACCCCTTCCTTGCCCGTTGATTTGAGCATTGATGCGACTCTCATCGCTGTGCCCTCTTCAACACTACGCTCTCTCTGCTATCTAATCACTCGCCACGTATAGACCTGCGGCGAGTGATAATAGTAGGAAGTCGGTGGGCGTTCCCAGCCAACCGCGCCAAAGGAGGCCATGTTAGATCGTCGGGGCATATCTTCGATGCGAATTGTGTGTTGGTCCGCACCCTTAGGGGGTCCGCCTGTCTCTCACACTAGGTGAATTGCTCCTTCTTCGACCTTCGCTCTTATCGTGGAATCCTCTCTTAACGATGATAGCAGTATCAACATCCAGCACATTTCTGTTATCGTTCCGCAATCTGAAGGCAATGCTTTCGCTGAGAGCGGCGGCCACCAAGAGTAAAGTATTGCTAGGCCGCCGCAGGTGCTAACGTGTTCGCAGAAAAGCCGCGTCACGGTTCCTAGATATCACACACAGAAGCGCAGCGGGTAAGAATATGGGTTCGTAAGAATAGATAGGAATGATCTGCAGAACTAACAAGGGAGGTCGTTCAAGGTGTGCGAAGCTTTTTCAAAATGGTTTCTTGCATGACATTGGGGCACAGAAGGGACCACGTGGTCCCCTTCTGTGCCCCAATGTCATGCAAAGCGTGGTTCATTTTTCCTAAACGGCCCCTGAATACCAAAAAGGGGTCCCTAGTTCGATTCCTCGTGGTGACAAATTTTTGCATTTCGAGTTGACGTTTCCAAAATTCGCGCAAAATGGAGTTAGCATGAATAATTAGTACCATATTCATGATTAGGACCGTCAGTAACCCTTACAAATAGACTTTGATTGAAAAACTGGTGAAAAAGGTGTGACTAGGGACCCCCTTTTCTGGTATTCAGAGGGCCGTTCAGGAAAAATTAACCATGGTTCTGTGGTTCCCGCATGTGCCCCTATATCATGCAAAAGACCGTTTTGAAAAAGCTTGGCACGCCCTGAAAGACCTTCCTTGTTAGTGCGGGCGTAGCTTTAGTTGTCCTCGAGTGAAGTAAAATTTTGAAGCTACTAACAGCTTAATTCGTTTACTCCAGTGATCGCCTATATTGGCTGCCAGGAACGCGAGACGGTGGCAACCCATATGGCCTGCCAGTAAGTGACGGCTTACCGATCTCATGTATTTTTGGCTACTTTTGATATTAGCGAAATAATAGAAAGGATAAAGCATTTGCCGTTGATCAATCCCTTTTGGGATGCGGCACGCATTCTACTTCCATTTGTACATTCGTAGTGGCGTTTGAATGCGATGTGGCCTATACAATGACTTGCGGGGGCCAGCCGATGTACAAGTCAGTGTTTTTTATCCTCCCAGACAAGTCTGGTACCAATTAACCGACCCCGGAGGGATGGAAGGCTTGGTTGGCCCGGGCGACTCACGACCCAGGATTTGATCCCCGGACCGCGTGGTAAGCGTGCCACTTGCCACTACACCACTTCCGCCCTATTAGCGAAATAAGTAGTGCAAAAGATAAGCTTTATTTCAAGAGGGGTTTTCCAATCCCTACCTTACTTAGGATTGGTTCATTTCTTTTGCTTTTCCATGCCATGAACACGGAAGCGAAAGTGTGACTTTAATGAAACTGCAGGGTCAAAAATTCTTCCGACCCAATCCACAAAGGTGACAAATTTTGCTGGAGTAGGTCAAGAGCATTTTCATTTCATTGAACATGCTTTCAGTCAAAAACCTACTATGACTCCTTTGCACACCTTCGACGTATTGACTATTGCCAGACTTATTTTGGGTTATTGACGTTTTGTTCATGTACTACACACCATGGATGTGTGGTAGCGCTCGTAAGTCGCGCCCGTTCCTTGCGACAAAAAGCGTCAAAGGATTCCGCCGTGATTGCGTTAAGGATTCGCCTCGCTACGTGACTCTTCCGTCTCTCCCAACATATAGGAATTTTCATAAGAACTACTACAGTGGGATGATAGCCCGGAGCATCTTATGCTTGCGCCTTTTGAATCTGCACTCAGATGATCGAAGCCATGCTTATGGAACCAATCACACGGATTAACCCTGTCAGTTAAAGGTCACTATGCCTACATCATTTCCCGGACATAGTTGAGCAGCCTTTCGTGAATCTGTAACGAAACTATTCTATTCTCCTGTGTTTGTATTACTTTGATCCGCTCACAGAAAGACTCGAAGCCGGATGGGTCCATTCTCGTCCTGAAATAGAGAAAATTATTCGCTATACATTGCAAATGATTACAGCAGAACACATTGTAGTGGATAACACAAAATTCAAAGAAATCAGAACTCGAAATTAGTACATTGCAGCCCGATTGAACATCATGAAATCAGGCACAATCACAGTTATTGCTGGAGCTTCTTGCCGAGGAGGTCCAGACTGGAAACCACCGCCTGTAAGCAAAGAATAATCTCAATAATTTCTTTTCTCCTGATTATATTTCGCAATAATACTGTTCCTCTGCGAATCTCATCTGAACTGAAATGCAATTTATCACTTTTTTCTGCTCGAGTTGTCGATCGTTCAGATACTGTCATTGCAATATTGAGTAGCAAGAAAAGCAATGCAGAAGCTGCAACGAAAGGTGAATACCACCCATCGACTTCCTTTCATCTACCCGAAATTCACACTGTTTCCCAGAGCTGGAAATATCTTATCAGAGCGGAAAAGTACGCTCCTTGCCTAGTCATACAGTTCAAATCTGACAGTTGGAGTAGACGTGCCACCGGAAGTGACGTGGCTGCTGTCGCCTTGATAGAAGATGCGTAGATAAGTTCCTGCCAGGATGCTTTGTTGATGTCTGCAATGCATGTTGGAAGCAGCTTAAAGCTTGAAGCAGCCGCGCGACATCTATCAAGTGCGACTGGTGCCGGTGACACGCCTACCTCGACTGTTATTTTTATTGTCGTTTCGTTGCAGTGTGAACTACACGAGCTCCTCCTTATCATTCAAATCAGTACTTTTTTCCCAACAGCTTAACTATATTACCACTACGGTTTACCATCCGCGCAATAGTGGTCCTGAGAAGCAATTTCACGAGACCAATTAAATAGAATTAATCTCCACAATAACAAGTACTGTCAGTAATGTCAGTAACCACGTCGCAGAGACATTGTGCAGTGATTCTGAAAGCAAAGGACTATCCACAGTCTCGCACAGCGGCTGATCGAGATCCACTCTACAATTCAATGTGGCACTGCGGCCATATAGAAGGCTCTTGGTGGCTCCACCTTCCGATGAAAAAGCGCTCCAATGCAAAGCTTCCCATGGTAAAAGTATCAGGGAAATGCTTGAGAAACTGGATGAAAACGATCGTCTACAGAAGAAGGCCAACCATGACTATCTTTACCTTTCGCCAAATTTTCACTAAGACGTGCTTCAATTTCAACAAAAATATTTATCATATCTTAACTGCCCCAGAAATATGTACCAAATCGAAATGCTTAACAGTTAGTTAATACATGAAAAACATTTTGAAGTGTAACGAACCCGAACAAATCATCATTCTGTTAGTAAGGCTGGGTAAAAGTATGTATTCACCTAACTGATTAATTCAAGAGGAGTGGTGCTAACTTTTAGCTCATAAATTATGACATGATCTGATCTTCGCTTCCGAAGATTAGCGGAAAGCGAGCAAAGCTGAAGACGCGGAGCTTGCCTTCAGCCCTTCCCTGGTATCAGTCGTTCCACTCCGTTCACATAAAACTCATTAAAAATTTGACAAACGACCCGCTATTTCCTCTCCGATTCCAATGCAGCGTTGAGAGTAGCTTAAGGATGATGTTAAAAGTGTTTAGGCAGAGCAAGCTTGAACCATGCTGCTTGGCCGCTATCGGAAATTACCTTGCAATGGGTGCTGAATAGGTGCGTAGGAAGACCACTGAGGACTTCCAAATAGACCAGCTTGAGCAGGAGGAGGAAAGCCACCCCTGCGTTGCCCGAGCTGTGCAAACGGTTGTTCAGGGAAATATCCTCGACCAACTCCTGAAACTGCAGCTTCTCCAACGGGACGGACAACAGATGCAAGCGTCGGTGGTCGAGTTACCTCAAACATTTCTAATTTCGCGAATCGAACGTGAAAACTCGTATTTTGCATCGAAAAAAAATACCTCTGGTTTTGCCTTCTCTGTTGGTTTTACGATTGATGCGTGGATATTGTGCGACACAGCTCCAATAACACTGATAGGTTGTGCAGCTACCTGAGGCTCGTCGTCACTCAAAATCTCTCCCTCTTCCTCTTCGTCGTCGACACTTGGGCGAGAACTGGACGTCTTCTTTCCCTATATAGCATAGAAAATATCAGAAATAAGAGGCAAGTATTACTGAACTAAATTCCTTTTGATAATCCTTCCCTACTTTTGGCCTTTCCTTCTCTGCTTTTTTTTCTTGAGTTATATTCTGTGAACTCAATCACATGATTAGTGCAGCTTTTCCTCTGTCTAGCGACCTGGAATTCCCTCCAATGTGTACCTAGCTTGCCGATTCCACGTGGGCGGCCGGTATACCCGTGTGTCGGAGTTTCGGCAAGTCCCTATGACCCCGTAGTGGCGAAGGGCATCACAGCCGGCTGATGCAGGTACTTGTTGCTGGGTCACAGTGTTGCTCTTCGAGGGAAGCTCGTCTATCCTTGACTACACTAGTGGCAATCTAAGCATTTTTATTTCTCTACTTTCACGGATTGGTTCCCCTAATCAGAGACTGCCTCCTGCTCATGATGCCTCTCATGTAATACTAGCGATTAAGTTATCATTAGCTACCCTCTCTTGCTAGCATGTTTCTGGAGTCGTTTTTGGCCTATCCCAATATTATCCAACGCTTATTTCTGAGTTGATCTTTTTTTTGCTTTTTGTTCCAGTTTTCCTTGTCGTTCTTTGCCCCCTTTTTTCCCGGCTTTGCTTCGTTAATTTATTACGCCCCTTTTGGGCTGGCATGTCGCTTAGACGTATGAAAATAAATAAGTAAATAAATAAAATAAATATCGAAACCGAATTCGAGAAGTCGGCTGATCAAGCGTGATAGAGTTGTCAACCCATTCATGTTGGTCAACAAGTTCTCCACCCGAATCTTCGTGTAAGTATTTTAACACATTGACAACACCACGGAACGATATGCCCTATGGTGCTGTCAGTGTGTTAAAAAATTATGTGTTGCAACGAATAACTCGTTTTCCATTATTGGCGCCTCCATTTTCATGTTACAACCATGTGCATTGTCAGATACGGAAAATAGTACAGAAGTCACCAGTAATGAGGTTTTCTCGAAGTGATAACTATTGACGAAGTATTATGCAGAAAAGGATGGGGAGATGCGCATCTGCCTTAAGATCGAAGAATCGCGCTTATACCACTCGAGCCAGTGCTTCGAAAGCTTGTCTATTCCCTCCTTCCAGAAGGGTAGGAGTTGGGAAATGGAGTAGTCGTTTAATGCTACTCCCACCTAGCCCTGCACGATATTTTTTGTACAGGAAGGTAAAATGTAGCCAAAGAGCCAGTAAATGGGTAGAATGGAGTCGAGGCTGTAGGAATCCTTAGAGAAACCAGCCGGGTGCACTTCTCCAAGTCAAACTGCGTTGCCTAGAAGTGTGATATTATTAATAAGCCGCGGTTAGCTCATTCCCTGAAGACTTCGCTCCTTTTCCCAGCCGGATAGCGGCTATTTCAAGGAGTCACGTGGTTTTTGGTTTACTAATCTACGATGAACATACTTCTTTTCCATTTACCTTTTTCAGGTGGACGGATTTTCCATGATTACTTCATTTTTTACCGTAATATTTGATATTTCTGTTCTTCTCAGGCAGTAGTGAAATAAGTGACCAGCAACACTTCATCCGATCCTTATTAATTGCCGTTTGGCCGAATACTGAACAAGTATCCAAACAAATTCGAAAAGCCCGACAGCACTTGCGTAGCACATCTTAGAAGGACTGTTCAGTACTATTGACTTCACTCAATTACGCAAGAGAGGTTTTCAGAAAGATTCAAAGGAATTTCTATTGCGATTATTTTGGTTTTTCAAAGAGTGAGGAATTATCGAATGCTTACAAAAATTAAGGCGAACCTCTGAACGAAATACATTTGCATGAAAATCACTCACCCGTTTTGAGCTTGAAGATGCTTCACCTTTTTGCTCAAGTGCTTTGATCCATGAATTCATGACGGTGTCCGTGCCGCCAGCATTCTAATAAACGTAAAATTAGAGCTAGATGATAATACTGAAGCCTATTTCGCAAAAAAAAGTAGAGTAGGAAAAGCAGTTCTCTCAACTATCCATCTTGCCTCACTCACAGCAATAGCTCCATCGTGATCCTTCGGACGTTTAGGTTTCCTTGGAGATCGCACTGTGATTATTCCGCTTCCTAGAGGTTCCGTGCGCTTATCCTCCGAAGGTTGCCAGCAATCAAGAGGAATTTCCTAAAACATCAAATATCATGTATTACGAGTGACCATTCAACAACTCCCCCCCTCCAAGCCGGCAACAGCCAACAAACAATGGACATACCGAGTGAACTTTTGGTCTGATATCACGTTCCTCGGGATCAGGCGAAGCTGGTGCATCAGGTGAATCGGGCCATTCTGGATCTGGTGACGCTGGTGCATCCGGCATAGACGGCTGCTGCTGTGTCTGCTGTGGGGTATTCTGTTCAGGTGGACGAGCTGATAACGAGGATCTCTTCAGTAGCTGTTGAATTACATCATTGGACAGCCCGAACGCAGTTCCAAGCACAGAAGCATTGGTTTTGGGAGCCACACTGGGTGGAGCACTCGTGTTCGAGACGGAACAATCCGACTGAAGAGTTGTGGGAATGACGGATGGTGATGCATCAGACGACTTCCGTTTCGAAGCCGACACCGCCTGCAGAAAAAAAAACATATTTGAAAAGCTAGTACCATCTCTGCCACGGTAGAAATACAGAAAGGCTATGTATCTGACTTACTTCTTCTATTCTTGGTCGTGACACACCCCGCGACACCTCAGGAGGTTCACTTTTGGCAGCCACACCAGCTGAGTCATGCTCTGCCGCCTTCTTATCTCGTTGAGATTGGAGTACTGAAAAAGAGTCGATTATGCTAGAATATGTTGGGTATTGCATAAATATAGTCCAACCGTCAAAAGAGAATGGAATTCATGAGGAAAAATTATTCATTTCTTCGTTTTTTTTTTATCTCATAACCATGTTCCGCGGGGCGGAAGTGGTGTAGTGACAAGTGGCACGCTTACCACGCGAGCGGTCCGGGGATCAAATCCTGGGTCGTGAGTCGCCCGGGCCAACCAAGCCTTCCATCCCTCCGGGGTCGGTTAATTGGTACCAGACTTGTCTGGGAGGATAAAAACACTGACTTGTACATCGGCCCCGCAAGTCATTGTATAGGCCACATCGCATTCAAACGCCACTACGAATGTACAAATGGAAGTAGAATGCGTGCCGCATCCCAAAAAGGGATTGATCAACGGCAAATGCTTTATCCTTTATCCTTTAATCAAGTTGATTATTTCTGTTAGGTTCTTTGTTGGTATCGTTAAAATTGTTCCCCAATGGTCGTATGTGGTTTGGCAAAGTACTATAGATCCTTCAAGCAAATTTCAAAATTTCAGCGATAACATGTTGATCACGAAGCCATATACATATTGTCAACTACCCTGAGTTCGTGCATATACTTCATAAGGGGAGTTACAGCCAAGGGTGCATGGAAGGGATTCTATGAGTAATGCTTTTCCTCTCAAAACATAAACTTGGTTATTCGCGTGTCAACAAAGCAATTCTGACCCAACCCTATCCGGGATTAAAATCCTCACGCATTTCTCAGCATTAAAAAGGAGCGATCTCACACGACGGCTATGAAACAAGTACTCAAGCGCCCGCGTTGAACAGTGCAGTATCCTGACTTGTTTTTGTTTGTTAACTGCTGTTTTTGGCCGCAGTTCGCCTTGCGAATGTTTCACAAGAATGCTGGGTTGTGAACAAAACTTTCGCCCCAGGCGGGACTAGAACCCGCACCTCTCGCTTTCCGGGCAAGTGCGCTACCAGTTACGCTACCGGGGCACCATTTCACCCAGCTCTCATGGAAATAAACTCACACAATAGTGCTTAACCGCCCTGCGTTGAACAGTGCAGTATCCTGACTTGTTTTTGTTATAGTGCAGTATCCATTACAGTGCAGTATTACAGTGCGTACCAAAAGTATGTGGACACCCTAGAATCGATTCTCAGGAGTCAGCTAAAGGCTTTTTGTGTTATGAAACCTTCACCATTCAACTCCTAGTGGTCGATAACCTACAATGACATTCTCGGCAAAAGATTTCGTTCTAACTTAGCGAACTATTTTTCATGGAAAGTTTTTTCTTTGTATCAAAATTATGTGGACACCCTGAGGCAGATGAAGTTTTTGCATCGATTTCCTAACCTATTTTTACTTCTCCTTTCGTTACTTATTCTGGCATCATTCCTCTTCACGGCAAGCGTTTTTCTGAAGAAGACCGAGCACAGAAATGGGATCCCCATGCTTCTGAACCTTCCTATTGCGAAATAGCACGTCAACCAGTCATGCGTCCTCGTAGGTTTGGAGAGAAATCCGAAATCCTGATGCTAAGCTCTCGACCTTGACTGAGGGTTGTTCTCAATCGCTACTTGTTCAAAACAGGAGAAGAATAGCCTTAATTTTCTCAAATTATTCTTTTCGTACTACTCAACTTTACGCATAAATGATCTTCCCGATCTTAAAAAAGACCAATCGGTGTCTCATTCAATCAATTGAGCACACGACACGAAAGAAGATGAAGAAGGCTTTGTATATGAATGCGGGTTCAGGTTGGCAAGGTTGGAATTCCCACTCAAAAAAGGATCACAACATGATACTTTGAACCCACACAGACAGTGCTTTCGTGGAAATGGTAAAATTAGTATAAAAGACTTTCTGTGGAAATTTCTCTCATAGACCAACTCGACTGGCAGAAAGAAGCTTATTCCTTACTATTCGGGTGGGTCTTGAGGTTTTTGGAGAGACTTTGGTCGGACCCGCAGATGTGCTCGAAGAGACAATTCGGAAGATGTTCATCAAAGGTCTGGGGTGGTTCCAAAAGGAGGGGGACATTGAAGTTTGGCTTGCCAACATGTCAGGTAGACGACTAGGATTATAATGAGGTGCTTGAGTCCCGGCTACAACCTTTTTCGAAAAGTCATGGTCGCAAATCACTTGTTTTGCAGGGGAGGTCCCTGACACCATTCCATTTGGAAAAATGCTAAACGCAACGGCTTTGATTGGCAAGTCGGCTAGCGTATTCCTCAGACTTCATCCTTATTGAAAACGTAGAGGTATCGTGGTTCGCGGTCTCTACGTCATTGAACAAAAGAGTAATATCACAAGTGACCTAACACGTCGGTGAAATTTGCTAGTTGGGAACAGATCTGCAAGACATGTATCCAGACCCCATTCATAGCATGCCAAACAGAATGGCTCAACTTACTAGAAACTTTGGTAGGCCTACCGATTTCAGATTCTGAAGATATTGCCGTTTTTCAAAAAGTGTCCACATAATTTTGATACAAAGAAAAAACTTTCCATGAAAAATAGTTCGCTAAGTTAGAACGAAATCTTTTGCCGAAAATATCATTGTAGGTTATCGACCACTAGGAGTTGAATGGTGGAGGTTTCATGACATAAAAGCCTTTAGCTGACCCCTGAGAATCGATTCCAGGGTGTCCACATACTTTTGGTACGCACTGTATAGTGCAGTATCCATTACATCAAAGGCAACTGACGTTGGGGCTTTGTCGTAATCCAACTCAAAACTTTGCCTGAGGAACGCTACTTGATAGCTTCGAATAGAACGTTTCAAGTGGGTCAAAAAACAAGGAAATCACCCGCGAATCATCAAACAACAATGTGATATGAACATTATAATGGCACAAACTCCAGCTATATCTCAAAATTTCTTACATCGCGCTCCGGCCAGAATATGGAATAACTTTGTGTTATCCGATGATTTCTCCTTGCTCGAACCGAGAGCTTGTGGCAAAATAGGAGCGGGTACTTCCACAGGAATTGATACGGGCACAGGTTTCTGAAATGAGGTATTTGAAATTCCAACAAAATTTGTACTAAAATACACTTGGAAATTTTTCTTCTCTAGTGATTCCAAGCTATTTTTTGTTCTGATTCCTGTTCAATAAATTGTTTGAGAGGTTCACGGCAGTCCTCACGAGGCTACGAATGGTGGAACCTTCGCGGATTTTCAGGATAAAAGAAATGATCTCATTTCACGTAGCCAGTCAGAAATTATTGCAGAAAAGGAAAATTAGCAAGAAAAAGATAAATCGATCACATCGATCACAGGTGTGCTGTGAGGCTTGTCCCATCTTTTGATCCTATCGTCACGGTCTCTTCTATCATCGCGATCCCTTCTTTCATCACGATCCCTCCTTTCGTCGCGATCCCTTCTATCATCACGATCCTTCCGTTCACTAAATTTCCACAATTAGAAAAAAGATTAGAAAAAATATGAAAAAGAAAAGCGAAGCGAAGGAGACGAGGGGTCCATAAAACACCCAGTGTATGAGCATCTAGCGGAGTTTCCTATTCCAGGTTCTTTAACGATTCTCTTTTTTCAGCATGATCACTAGCTCCATTCAGTGGCACAGCCTTCTCTCCTTTTACGTAAGAATCAACCTGAACCGCTGCCTCTTACCTGACAGTAAGCATCGAGGGATTTCTCTCACAACACTCCCCCTTAAGTTACATCGCACTAGTAGCTGCTACATGGTAAATGCCTGTTTAGTGTTTAGTTTAGTCAGTGCCTATCTCACGCCATACAGATGTAGACATCGGATGTGATGCGTATGCTTGATCGCCCTATCCTGACCTTTTACTAACACTGAGATCATGCAAACCTATTGGGTTGTCCCATAATTCCTGTCCGTCTTTTGATCAAATTCAAATTTCTTCAAGTCGAATTAGTGTCATTGCGAAATATGTTGGTATGTCAAAGAGTGCATCTAGACCGTTAGCCAGGACGTTTTGGAAGGTCAAACCCGCATCGGAATAACTGAGTAGAAGTCGAAATAGATCAATGACAATAACGAACGATTATGCTTTATGATCCTCAAATAGACGCTGTTGCAAGGAGGACACTAGAGAAGATCAGCGCTGTGTTTGGCTCAGTCTCTGCTACTGATCGGTCACTGAGCTGGAGGTTCGGTCGCAATGGCAAAGACAATACGAGCTGTGAAAATCAGCCTCATCCTGGGCCTCCACTCACTTTCGATGAGGACCCCTTGCGCCATGGAATTGGAAGTGCACACGGACGCTACTACCAGGGTATTGTAGCAGACACCTGGGCGCAGCCGATGCACCAGCACACGCCATCAGGATGGAAGTGGGCTGCAGCAGAATGAAGACTTGATGGAAACCATATGCACCGACCAGCCATGACCGAGAAGCAGGTCTGACCCTCTGGGGAATTTCATTCTGTGACCTCAATAGCAGAGCGTTCCCTAGTTGATCACTAGTGGGGATGAGTTCACTACGACAACAACACGCAGCACGCCTGATGGCTGCCTCAACAATGCAACCAGGGCTCACCGCAGTAGTGGGAGAAACCGTCTCAAACGTCCCAAAATCCCCTTTCTCCGAATAGACGCTCGACCTCACATTGCAAAGATAACTCGCTACGTTCTGAGGGAAACTGGCTGGACCATGATACCATGTCCATCGTATAGCCCTGGCATCACTCCATCGGGCTATTCCTTTTCGCAGTGCCTTGAAGCAGCGTTGGCGAGAGAAAAAAGTCACTGAAATACAACCACTCCAAAAACGACCTTGCTGAATTCTTCAGCTCATTGCTTCACCCATTCTAGGAAGAAAGCATCCAAAGGTTCCCTGGTGAGTGAATGCATATCGGTGATCATGATAACGATAGTTTTTATCAAATGGTTCTTGAGAAAAATAAAACTCATGAGAAGAAAGTGTCGAAATTCGGAAAGGAATTATGGGACAACCCAAGGACCTATAATTATGAAACGCAGTGTACTACATGGTAAATGCCTGTTTAGTGTGTCAGTGCCTATCTCACGCCATACAGATGTAGACATCGGATGTGATGCGTATGCTTGATCGCCCTATCCTGACCTTTTCCTAAGATTTAGATCTCGCAAACCTGGCATGATTGAGCGCAATTTAAATTAAATTAATTTAATTTAAAACACATATAGTGATGAGGGGCACTAAGAAAATGGGTTGAGCATTAATCAGCCATATCTTCCTTGACCTGATCTTTATCTTTTCATACCTTTTTTGTCTGCTCTGCTGATCCTCAGATATATTATTGTCATCGTCTTCGTCATCGCCGAAAACCAGTGGTGCTGGAGGATTCAACGTTGGAGTAGTCACGGCTTTTTTGATTGAAAATGCTAACGTTGCAGGCTGAAAATGCAGGGCTCAAAAGGAACCCAACAAACACAACAAGACGCACTGAAGATAAGCATACCGGAGCTGAGCGAAGGTCCGTATCCATGACTGAAGCTCCTAATGGAGGAACGTTGCCCACAAATCCTAATCACATTTTTACTAACATGAACTTGCTACATCTAAATATCAAGTGAACATACCAACAGATGCAGGAGGAACAGGTTTTGGAACATATCCTGTGGGATCAGTGAGCTCAGGAGGCGGTTGATCAAAACGCGATTTTCGTTGTCCACCAGTCTCATCAGGCTTGGATGCGGTAACCGTGGAAGAGGTGGGAATTTTACGGAGATCAGTGTCTTGACATTGAGATTTGGACTGATTTGCACGCAGCAGTTCCAATAACCTAAAAAATGGAACAGATGGGAATCTGCCTCGAATAATCACCGTTCAACTGTACGATGATGTACTCATTAATGAACAACGTTCAAGACATGGATTGCTTCCTTGAAGTAGTGTTTCGCATATTGCAAAGCACATGCACGTGATTAAACCTCATGGGTAGCGAGCACCTTCACTTTTCGATGTTACGACTGATGTGAACTCATAGTAAAGGCCGGTGCTTACGGTTGGATTTCCATGTGGAACCAAGCATTGCATACTCGAAAATCACTTCCACGCTTGTTCGTATTTGTTGCAGCAAGCG